AGTGGTGATTGTAATGACAACACAAATATATTCATATTATTTATTATTTATGTGCTTGTGTGTGTGGATGTATTTGTCTGTTTGTCTGTCTGCCCTGCAGTATCCTGCTTTCTGCCCAATGACCACAGGGATAGCGCCCCAGAAGGATAAGTGGTTTAGAAAGTCTGTGTGTGTATTTACTATTTACTATCCAGTGAACTTATACGTGTCTTGTAAGTTTTTATATGTAATGATGATGGTGGTAAAATAGTGGTACATCTGAAATCTTTAGGGACTATTTCACTGCCTTGCATGTACCTCTCTGCTATAAATGAAAAAGTACATTTTAGATCAAAATCGTCTCCTAAATTATCATAATTTCTCAGGCATCAGGCAGCATATTCTTATTTCACTTTGGGTCCGGTCACCACAACTTTGAATGATTCTGACTCCATATGTTTCTCTAGTTTCTGTAAAAGGCTCTTTGAGTCAGCTCTAGTGTTTTTCTAAAAATAATTGTAAATATTTGTTCTTGTCATGCAGTTCGCAAAAATGAAAACAAATTTAGTCAATTTCAGGCAAATTTCCTAATTCAGCATGTCACATTATCCCCCAGCGACTTTAAATTTCAGAATTTTTGGTGGCTATGTGGAATTTCCTTAAACTTTGTAGTAAATGTCCATGAAGATGTGCCACATTTTGTACGCACTATCACTGTTCACAGCCATACCAGCCAATCAGACACCTGTGTGGTCACCTGGCAGAGTCATGCACCGCTGAAGCGCTCAGCGATGCTATGTGAGCCCAGCAGTTTGGGAACAAATACAATAGCAGTTTTCACACACTGTGGAGTCAGTGTGTGCAGACTGGTGGAACTGTCAGGCGACTGGGGACAGAATACACTGGGGACTGGCTTTGACTCAACTAGAAGAAAAAATATGAACAAACTATATCCATTTATTACACTGTTCAAAATCAAAATGCCTTTTTTTACGTAGCAATAGAAATATAGCATTTATGCTGATAATATTTGAAAGCAGTAAAATGCACTAATGGCATTGAGAGGTCCTGTGTCTCCAGGGTATAATTTTATTCTTTTATTCATGGTTCGGCCATTTTTTGGGGTGGTTTTCAATCAATAACTGCCTAAACATAATTGCCACCTCATATACATGCATTCAGAATCAGTTTAGCATGGCTGATAGATTGCTTTCAGCAGGCTCCAAATGAAAAGTTAGTAATGCTTTACAAAGAGCCAGAAACAGATGTTATCTAAACCATGCTTGGATATTCTCTGAATTTAAGATCATGTGACTTCACACCTAGACCAAGTGAAACAATGACCAATATTACGCAGAGATATTAGCCTTGGAAATTAGAGCACTCATTTCCAACACTGCAGAAGATAAATTCAGATACATCATTTCCCATTTAGTTATGAGCTGTGTAAATCATTTGCTCCTGTGCTCTTTTCTTCCTAATGGAATTAACCCTTTGGAATGCATATTCACCAGTGTGATGGGAATGACAAGCAAGTTCACATTCTACACTGCAGTACAATAGTCTTATCAAGATGAGCATTTTGAAATAATACAATACACTCCTTGTTCAAAGAGAGATAAACATGACTGCTAACTTGAAGAAAAGCAAGGATTGTCCCTTGTTTTTTGGATATTTAACACAATTCTTATCTTCTTCATATTTCATACTTTCCCACATTGCCAGAAGCTAAAGGAATGGTGCTAATAGGAGGGAAGTTCGGCCTTTAGAGCAATTATTCATTCCCACCCTCTCACAGGAGTTTTTTCTTTTTTTTTTTTTCTTTTTTATTTTATTAACCCTGCTGCCTCCGGCTGCTCCGTCTGCCACCACAAATCAAAAAGCACTTAATTAACAGATAACTGGGCGAGTCTTAAAGTTGACTCCTCGCTCCCAGCTGGTGGCTGGGGCCGCACAGATCGGAGCTGAAGGCTGTGGAGCCGTTAAACTGACTGTACGCGCACTTGCTATGCTGTACACACACGTCCAAAGCTGGGCTCTCTACAGCGATCGTGCTGTCTAATAACAGTTTGTAGCATGTGGAACAAGGTCATCCCTCTGTGTTATGCCTGCAGACAAAGTGGGGCATCGTGCATGGCAAAGCGGAGTAATCTGGTGCTGAGGCTCATCTGGGCTGAAGGACTAGTGTCTGGTATTGTGTGCTCTGTTGGCAGTGGACATTCATTATAGCTGGAGAAATTGCTTTGGGGACACACTGTGTGAAGACAGGCTCAACCGAAACAGATGTATGGCGGGCACGAAGGGAGATGGTGGGAGCACACATCACACATTTACCCCCACTGGATCTAATGCTATTATAACATACTTCTCTTTTTCTGTGCACCCAGCATATGGGACTAAGCAGTCAGCATTTTCGCTGCAAAGTTATTACAAGTGCCCCATAGCCATACCCATCAATCACACCCAATTTCTCATCTATCTATCTCAGGAGTGCCCAGAGATATGCCAGTCCAAAATGTAGAAATGATTTTTTTTTTTCATTTACAATCTAAATGCTTTTTTAGATTGAAGCCAGCACACAGAACGGCGTCCTGGTGAGAATATTCATATCCATTCTTATGAAATATTAATTGAAACATGAGAATTTCCCTGTATTTTAATTACCTGTTTTATACTCTGGGTACAATAAAGATTTAGAGCACTTGCCGCTGAAAGGTGACTCGGCGAGCAGTTACAGAGATTATGGTGAATAATTAAAATCTCTTTGGTTGTTTTGTGGATTGGGGAAGGAACGAGAGAGGGGATTTATTCAGAGTCGAGCCTTAGCCATTAATTTTTTAATGCGGCCCAAAGCACCTGCATGGAGCGCTGGCATGTTTTATTGAGAGAATTGCTGTGTTTTCCAAGATCTCATGCCCGAAAGGTCCAGCTCGCGGACCTCCCTGTAGAATATGGGTTATATGCTACACATCCTTGCAAATAAACCCGCCTTCAGTTACCCAGAGCTAAACGACCCTAATGAGCTCCTGCCGAGGTGCAGACAGATTGCACTTTCAGAGGCTTTACTTTGAAATGAATGCCAGGTGACAAGGAGGCTACAGATCCCTGACACCACGCACACAAGGAGACAATGTCATTATTTCTAATTCAGGCCGGAGGATGTTTCTCCATCAGTGTGGATTCATTCTTGTCTAGTTTGGGGAGGAAGAGGAGTGGCGTGTGGGAAGTGTCCCCCGGGGCGTTTGTGCCTGTGTGTGTGCCTGTATAAGTGTGTGTGTGTTCTCTTCTTGGCAAGCGCTGCTGAGCGCATGAGGAGGGCGCTGTTCTTGGCTCATTTACATTGATGGCCAGGCTTTGCCTTTGCTGGCATTTTCAGCAGCCATTGATCCACTGCCTGCCTGATTAATCTTCTATAACGGGATCAGCAGTCAATTAGTGTCTGAATTTCACTTTGAATTCCGTCCATGCCTCACCTTCCCACCGTTTCCCCGCAAGGGCCGGGAACTTTCCGCACGTTCTCACTGTTTATCATTTACAGCACACATGCCAAATCTTTGCCATCACTGTAGTCAGATTTTCTGCTTCTTTAGTGACGTGTGGTCACACCAGAGTGGCCATAACATCACAAAACCTAGAGTGGTTACACTTTAGGGCAGTATATTTATTACACCTGACATAGACCTGCATGCACACTTATAAACACTTACATATAAACACTCATATTTATAAACACTTATTCCAGCAGGAGTCATTTGTCAGAAAGGTTGCATTTGCTTTTAACTTGTTAAAGTTGACATAACATGTAAGTCATGTAAGTTTTCCGTGGTAAAGTATAATTTAAGATTTAACCCTTGTGTGATGTTGGGCTCTGTAGGACCCATTTTCAATGTTTACCAAATAAAAAAAAATATTTGTTATTATTTCAACCCCAGATTTCTTGGTCTTCATTTTCTGTGAAGAACATATAAAATAACACATGTTCAGTGTCTTCACATTTATATTACACATGTGGTGCTGGGTGAACCTGCAGGGAATAAAAGTGTGGCGGTGATGTGTCCTTCACTCTGTTCTCCTCCTACATGGCCTGCTGTTAGTGTGTGTGTGTGTGTGTGTGTGAGGGTGGACAACATGGACAGGCTGCTGACTGGCTACAGCTGCTAAAGGAGAACCCTGCGCTGGCCACTTGTGATATTTTAAACATCTGGTATTTTTACATAAATTGTTATGGCTGTATTGATTAAAAAACAATAATGCAGGGGGTCAACCAGACCACTGAGTAACAAACACATCAACACCACACAAGGGTTAAACTGTTACCTCATCAGCATTATATCACAGATATGCACTAAGCTACAAAGTCAGTTGTTATTGTCAGTCCACTCAAAAAAGTGTTAGAAAAATCTACTTGAAAACATCTATAAAGGTTTATGCAGGGTTTTTGTCCTTATTGCTTATGTAATTATCATGTAGCCTTATGAACGCTGCCCTACATACGACTGTGTGGCACAGACAGAGGGCACACCTGAAGGCGAGTGAGGATCTGAGCTAGCAAGCACAAGGTTGGATCGGTTTTCTGAGGATTCAGCAGTTTCGAGAGAGGAGCAGGAGAGAGAGCTGATGGAGGATAATGACAGATGGTGCTTTGGTCTGCTCTCCACATAATGGTCATGTGCGGTCTGAGTGTTAGAAAGGGGAGCTGGATGCTTGCTGTCCAGATAGAGTTCAGTTTCACTCAAGTCAAATACTGCTCAAATAAACATCAGCTATCTCACCGTGTAATGTCAGTTAGCCTCTCAGTGTTTTGGGGGTCGGCTTAAATGTCACGTAATAGGAGTATTAAGTTTCTCTGGCTGCTTATTTTTGATAGCATGTGTTGTTTATTGCTCTGGTGATCATCATCATATATTGAAGTGTATGTAGCAGGTATTTACCTAGCCAGTCTCATGTCGCTCTGAGAGCTGCCCTCTTGAGATCAGAGTTGTAATATTTTACAGACTTTTTTTCTAATGTCTGTTTCCCAGGTGATCCAGCGCAGAGAGGACGGCTCCGTAAACTTCTACAGGGACTGGGCTGCTTATCGAGAGGGCTTCGGCAAGATCACAGGGGAACACTGGCTCGGTAAGCTCTCCTTTCAGCCTAGCAAGCAACAAATACTATACAGAGCTGTTTGAAGTACAGAGACGACCAAGGTAGCTTCAGTCCAGCTGCAAGTATCAGAGCTGTGTGCAGACAGCTGGCGAGCATTATCAAAATCAGGTTTTCATGATTAAGGGCTGTAACTGTCAGTCAAATTTCATGCATTTTTGGGCACTAAATACAGCCCTTGTCATTTAAATTCATTTTGTGAGGATGATGTTTTGCATTTAAAAATGCTTCTTCTATGTGAGCAAGCCAGATTAGCAGCTATTCTTGAGTAAATGGAGAAATTATTGCTGTCCTCACAAATAACTGTTGATGATAAGTGTAATTCACTGAAGAGAGATTAACTGCAATTAGTGTCCTTGAATTGCCGTAAAGACACACAAAAGCTTGCTGAGTAGATTTTCCACCTCCCCACTGGGCAGCTAACTGTATTTTGATGTTGATAATTGCTCCAAATTCATACCTGCCGACATTCGCCTGGGAGAATTACACTGATTTTCAAGTCACTGAGAAATACATTTAAAAAGCGTCTTTTTAAAACAACACAAATGGGCAGTGTCACAAATGTGACTTTTTTCAATTTCACCTCAATTAAAAATATTCATTTTTACACTTCACTGATTTAATGACATATCCAGACATCTTAAGATGAATCACTGTCCCCCAGAGGAGAGTTTTATTGCTGAAATGTGGCTGTCATTCTCTTAAAATTATTTGGGAGAGACAGCATTAGACAAAAAGGAGACATAAGATGCTTCTGGACCAGATAAAAATGATAATAGTTACTCACAGTATCAAAACTGTTTGTCTTGGTTGACAAGTGGTTGAGCTTCTGTCTTTAGTTTAGCTACAGATCAACATAAACATGTTATTATCTTGGCACATCTGAGCACGTGTGACGTTGAGATCTCTATTAAACTGACATGACATGAGATTACTGAGGTCTTTTGCTCAGGAGAAATGTCTGAGCAGCAGGAGACTTAAGCAGAAGTCTCAGTTGTCTTTCTATCTGGTCTCATTGTTCTTTAGGAGAAAGTACAGAGATATTAAGGAGATTAGAGGTGGACAATATGGCGAAAATGTAACATAATGATATTTGAACACATTAATACAGAATTCAGAATCACAATGTTTTGTTTTTCTGAGGTTTGATACCTTGAAACACAAAATGCAGCAGCACTGCCACATTTAAAAAATACTGCTAAACTAGTTCTTCACTGGTCTTTGTGTCTACATTTATCTGAAAGAGGGGCTATTTTTGTTCCTTGTCGTTACAGTAAGGTACTGTAAATTATTTTGGTGCAGTCATATGCTGCCATCAAAGCAAAGGAAGATACAAATGAAGGAAATACCTCTCTCAAAACTGCTGACTTTGCTAATAGTGCCTTAAAGCCGCTGGGACCATGATGCCATTTGCATAATTCCAGCTAGGTTCTGCTAGCATTGATTCACCATTAGGAACAGTGGCGTTTTGAGTAAAGAATTTTTTTAAGTTCTGCAGTGGCAGCGAAGGTGGGTAGGGGCAAGTGTAGATTGCTCCAAGGGGAAGGTAACGAATATAGTCTTCCATAGGGTCCACTGAGGGGAATGCAATCTCTGATCTGTCCAGTTGCTTTTGATACTGGAATGGTGGCATGTCTTATCAGCCATGCACACATTCCCAGCATGTATAAAAAAGCATATCTCTGTGTTTTTGCCACATAACTGGAGGAAGAAAAAAGCATGGTATGGTGTGTTTTTGTGTGCGTGCAGGCTCGCATGCGTGCATGTGATGGACGGTTACTCTCAGACGCCTCCAACATAAACAAGATAAATGGCATTTTCTTTTATTTACTGCAAGGTTGCCTCTACTTCATCAACAGCAGAAGATGGGAAGAGTCTCTTGCAGTGACAGGGGTTGATGCGCGCTGGGTCTTAGCTGCTTCTGCCTGACACCACTATTTCAGGGACAGAGCTGTTGTCTTATTCTGCACAGGCAACACCACATGTGAGAGCCACAGTGTGTGCCATGGACCGTCTGTGTGTGCGCGTGTTTGTGTGTGTGTGTTGTTTTTTGAGACTAAGGCAAGATAATGCGGAGTGACAGGCCTGTCAGGAAGTGACGTCTCCCTGAGATTGACAGGCTCCGTGAGAGGAGACGAGAGGAGGCTAACGTCCCTTTCTCGCTCCTGCTGCGGCTGGAAATGACTTTTCCCTCGGCCTGCTTATTTCGGCTCCTGCGCTGTAAGTAAAACTGGCCTGTAGCGCTGCCTCTGAGACTGGGCAACGACATGGTGCTTGTGTTGGTGGCCACAGGTGCCAGTCCCTGTGGGAATGCTCAGGAAAAGCACTCCTCTCTGGGGTGAAGAGGCTGATGGCCCTGCCTGATGGTAGAGTTGAGCTTCAGAATGCCGCCGCCGTCAATGAAAATGAGCCTAAACCTCCCACGCACTGTAATCAATAAGAGACACAAGGGAGCTGGGGACAATTAACCTCTGGGGCCAAAAAGATGAGCTGGAGAAGCAAAAGAGAAAAAAAAAGAAAAACATCAACAATACACAGCCATCAGGATGAGGTGACAAAGAGAGAGCAGGGGCCACAGCCCCCTCAGCAAGACAATCTTACACAGAGACAAAGAGAGAGAGAGAGAGGGGGAGAGAGAGAGAGAGGGATGTAGCTCAACTCTGAAAAAATAGGACGAAAAACACAGTTCAGGATGACAGCACAGCTTGAAGTTTCACAGCGTTACAGAAACTCTGCCACTACTCATAGCGAATATTCAAATGGGGATCGTTTTAGTGGCGCATTAGCAATCATCAGGAAACACACAAACGCTCAGAAATGTAAGTCGAATATTGGGGGGAGATATGAATATTAATGGGAGACAGTGTATTTTTGTGTCATCAAAGGGGAAGGTTTGAATTACCATTCCATAATTCCATAATTTTCTTTTGTAGTGTATTAGCATATCCATTCAAAATCAACCTAGCAGAGCACTATAAATAAACTTTGCCTTTTATCAGTAATTTTGAAATAATTCACAGGAAATGGTTATAATAAGTCATTCCCACTCCCTCAGAACCCTCCCAGATATTTACACAGAGTGCTAATACAAAGCTCAAGTGCTCATCAAAAGCTCTCCCTTGCTCTCCCTCTCTCTCTCTCTCTCTCTCTCTCTCTTTCTCGCTCTCTCAAGTACCCTCACAAACCGTTCACACACATACACTGTTTCATGAATCTAGGGGTGTGAGAGGGATTTAAAAAAGCCTAGCTTCTTGGCTTTGTTCGAATCCCATTTATGAGCTCTTCTTCTTTAGTGGTGTGCTCTGGTATATGATGACCAGCCCTAAAAAAGACGACCTTAAACTTTATCCCACCGGATCCTGTCTAGGAAGAAGAAAAGAATGTTCTCAATCGCGTTAACCTGATCCTGGACGCGTCCCCGGAGCCGTCACGCAGCACTGCTGAAATCCAGCCCAGTCCTGCATCAGCACAACCCCAGAACCTTAATCCATAATCTCACTGATTCAGACCAGCACTCGCTCCCTGACAAACCCATCGACGAGGTCAGAGGTCAGCACTGTGCTCCGGTCAGAACATAGTTGCCGCTTCCGTTGCCTTGTTCTGGGTGTGGAGCTTCACCCAGGAGAGGAGCTATACGGTATCAGGTTCTGTAAAGGGTTTGTGGTGCAATGCTTTCATAGCAGTGATGAAAGTGTCATTGAGGAGGCCACATCAGAGCCGTTATGCTGAAGTGTAGGTGCGGTAATGACTCCGGCGGCAATTGCTGATGCTTCTCAGCGTATTGAGCCGGAGCTGAGAGGTGACGCCTCATTGCTCATTAGCGACTGTGCTGAATTTCCAATACAGTCTCATCGGTGGTGCTCTCGCATTCCCTATGGCATTGAAACAACAGCATTCAAAAGTGCAATTTGATTATGCACTGTGATCGTGCTGTATCACTGCGAAATTTGGATTGTTCAAAATGCAGTTGTGGGTCCTATATAGATCTGTAAACTTTAATTTGAGTGAAATCAGAAACAGTATTATGAACAAGTGTAACATTAACATTTGAAATCATGATTAAAAGCACACATTCCTTCCTCCAGACTCTATCATGAACTTAAGATACAGGGTGATTCACTCGAAAGAGGCCCTGAATATTCTGTTGTAACTCCTGTTAGGATGAAGCAATCTAAACCAAAAAAAAACGCTACATACCTTGACGTATGTGTAATTGATTGTGTTACATGCGATGCTGGAAGTGATGTCCGTTGTCTGCCAGACACATTTTGATGCGGCGCTCCATGTTCCTAAATTTATCGGCAAACATTAGAGAGGTTAAACGTCGCGATGGCTGTCCGGCGCCTACCTCATCACTCCGACACAGAACATTGCACATCGTTTTGTTTAGATTGCTTTGTCCTAGCGAGAGTTATTACAGAATATTTGGGGCCTCTTTCGAGTGAATCTCCCTGTAGTACCTCTCACTCTCATTCAGTCATTCCAGTGGTCATTACAGTTTGTAGCCCAGTTATGCTCAATCCAAGCACAATCTTAACACTAAGTAATGTACTAGAAGTACATTAATGGTGGTCCCTCATTTTTTCTTTATTGGGCTTAAATAAAGCAGGTTGCTCTCAAGTCTTACAGCCCAGACCTTGTACTTACTTGCATTTGCCAGAAAGAAGGATTGCACGTCTTGTCCTTCAAGATTTAACCATTAAAAAAGTGTTGCTTTCTTGTCTATTGTTTATGTTCATGGTTGCATCACAAGCCTCTGTGGAAATTATTTGAGTGCTTTCACAGAAGAATAAAGGTTCTGCGAAGTGTGCCCCGAAAGACCGGACTGGTGTCTATTGAGATGAGCAGGAAAGCATGATTAAACTCTTTATACTCTCACCTTAATAACTGAAGTCAAAGTGATTCAAAAAATGTTTTTTTAATGTTAAAAAATAAATTCTGTGATGTGGCAACAGAATACAGACGCTCGCGGA